ACACACACACACACACACACACACACACACACACACACACACACACACACACGCACACACACCCACACCCACACACAACCCGAGGGACAAGGCTTTTCCACCTGTCCCCCTGAAGGATCTATGTGCGCAGAGACAGGACAGCTAAGAGAGACCAAATTGCGCGCCGAGAGGACCAAATGACCGTTTGAAACTGAACCTGGACCAAATGAACGCGTCACTGAGACTGAACCAATCATCATCATCATCATCATCATCATCACCATCATCATCATCATCATCACCATCACCATCATCATCTTCATCATCATTATCATCAACATTACCACACAGCAGGATCGTCATCACAGTCACGGTGTTATCTTATACACTCCAGTAAAATTCTCCGCCGGCATCGTCAACGTCATCATCCGTGTTCTCGCCCACACTCATCTACGTCGTGCGGCTGCGGCTATGCTCTGGTCCATCCCCAACTGTTCTTCCTCCTCATCGAAATTCCCCGAAAACAAATTTCACACGTTGTGCGGCACTTCACTTCCACGCGATCATACCGCGGATAACATTACCTTATACTTACCTGTGGATACCCCGCGCATCTCCTCGCTTCTCTCTCTCTCTCTCTCTCTCTCTCTCTCTCTCTCTCTCTCTCTCTCTCTCTCTCTCTCTCTCTCTCTCTCTCTCTCTCTCTCTTGCCCTTGCGGCCAATCCCCATAGCACACAAGGATGCGCGTAGAAAGCAGCGCGCATCATAGAAAGATCAGCAGCTCTTATTCCTAAACTTCGTCGATTCCAGCCCCTCTTCTTCCTCCAAAACTTCTTCCTCCTCCTCCTCTTCCTCCTCCTCCTCCTCCTCTTCCTCCTCCTCCTCCTCTTCCTCCTCCGCCTTTAGTAAGCCAGGCGTTTGACCACTCAGTGATGCTATCGGCACCTGATACTCGTTATCGGCCCAATAGCTGCATTAAAAAAAAAAAAAAATCCTCTCAATAGCCAACTCACCCACTCGTTTCACCTCCCTCCCCCAAAATTCCTCCTCTTTCCGGTTTCAGACCCGCAAGCCTCCCCCTCATTCACCTCCCTCCCTAAACCCCCCTCCTCTTTCCGTTCTCTTTTGCGCTCTACCTCTCCTCCTTGCTCTCATGTCTTCTCCTCAACCACGATCATCATCATCGTCATCATCATCATCATCATCATCATCATCACCATCATCTTTATCCTCATCAACATCGACATCATCATCATTATCCTCATCATCCACATCGACATCATCATCGTCATCATCATCATCATCATCATCATCATCATCATCATCGCCACCATTATCATCATGATTATTGATTGCGTGCTGAAAAAAAAAAGAGAAAAAAGTACTAAAAAAACGAGATAAGGAGCGGGAAAACGAAAAACCGACCAGAAAAAAAGAGGAGAAAATCCAAAAACCAGGGGGGAAAAGTGGGAGCGTGGGGAGGGGGCGGGGGGGGGGCGGGGGGGGGGGYGGGAGGGGAGGAATGAGAACAAAGGCAAATGAGGCCGCGGAGGCACGAAGCAGAGGCAGAGACAAGTGCAATGAATTTGGACTGCGGCGATGGACAAGAAAATAAGCAGACTTTTAAAGATTTGAAAAAAAAATTAACAAAAATTAGACAGAAAAAGAAGCAGGAGAAGCTCTCTGAAGGACCGGAAGGACTGGCCTGGAGTAAAGAGCATTCGATTTTTTTTTTTTATTTTTTTTTTTTGGCAGTGAGCATTGGATTTTTAACTCCTGAATGTGGACCTGTGTTTGGGAGAGACGCAGAGAATCACGACTGCTCTGTTTTTTCTGCATATGGGCCCGTCTGCATTCAGGCGTTAATCTAATTTAATCCTCTATGCTAATGGGACCTCGCCCCTGCAAGTTTGGCCGGATAAAGGTTCACCAGAACTGTCAATACGGCCTTCAAAAAAAAGAGTGCCTCCAACCCAAAACAAAAAAAAAAACAAAAAAAAAAAAAAAATTCCCTAATTAACCACTGAAAGGATACCTGAGTCGATGAATTTTTTGACAGGCAGCAATCATCACTGCGTATCTTTGAGCTCCGCTCCACTACCCACTAAATGCGAAATGCTGCAAAATGAGAATGAATCTTTTGGTAGAACATGGAAAGATACACTGCCATAAGTTTTTGTCTTTTTGTGCATGTGGTGAGTGGTGGAGCAAGGCGCTTTGTCTACTAGGACGTGAACTGGAAGAAGATAGTAGCACACTATTCCTGGGGCGAGGGTCCCACTAGCAAAGAGGATTGGAATTGAACGCCTGTATCTGGACGTGTTTGCGGACAGGTGCAGAACAGAGCGATTGATCTGCTCTTCGGCATCTCCGCGTAGAACACGTCCACATTCAGGGCGCTTTCATTCAATCCTCTTTGCTAGTAGTGGGACCTCGCTTCTGCTATATGCAAACCACACGTACAATGAGGATTAGGATTCAGCGCCTGAATCTGGACGTGTTGTGTGCAGAGATGCAGAAGAGCAGATCAATTGCGGGGTTCTGCAACTCTGCACAATCACGTCTAGATTCAGGCGCTGCATCTAATCCGCGATAATTGATCGAACCATCCTGAAGAAGCCCAATGATTCATTCAAACAAATTGGATTAAAATTTTCAAACAATTAATTTCAGATTAATAAATATAATTGAAATAATGATAATTATAAATTTGTAAAATAATGATAATTATAAATTTGAAAATAATGATAATTATAAATTTGAAAATAATGATAATTATAAATTTGAAAATAATGATAATAATCCTGATAACTCCTGAGCTCTGAGCTCTGAAATACCTGGTGGGCTCGTCAGTTTAATGCCGATGCCTCCAGGTCGCGGTCCCGTTAAAAAAAAAAAAAAAAAAAAAAAAAAAAAAAAAAAAAAACGGAAAGCACCAAAAAAAACAAAAGGAGGGTCGGAGGGTGCGAATAAACATTATGCAGGGAAAGCGAAAATTCACCTTTGGCTGAATTATGATGAGTGAATATTCTCTTGAAGATACTGCCTAGCATCATCCTACCGTCTTCACCCGAATAGAACGTCGCCCAGTCAGTATAGCTGTATTTGGACAACTTTCAGTCCATATACAGTCATAATTACAAGGCGTTCCATTAGGGATGCAGGCAGCGCCGTCATCAGCTATAGACAGCCATCGCCATCATCATCTTCATCGCTGTGGATATGGAGATGGTCACCCCTATCGGCATTGCCATCGCCGACGCATCACCGTCTTTTGTCCCTTGGAAGCATGGTGTGAGAAGGGCCTACACACAGAGGGAGATGGTTATCACCCACGACCAGACGGACCACTCTGAGGCACGGGCTACCGGTAGTCCCACTACCGGGAGTGCTATGCTCGCGCTATACTACCGGTAGCATGGATCTGGGTCGTTCAACGTCCGGTCGCGCTTGTTTGCTACGCACACACATAGCAACACATAGCTCCCACCTCCTAAGTCAGGCGAAGTCCCACTAGCAAACAAGCGCGACCGGACGTTGAACCAACCAGATCCGTGCTACCGGTAGTATAGCGCGAGCATAGAACTCCTGGTAGTGGGACTACCGGTAGCTAGTGGGCCCGCCTCCTAGGTCAGGCGAAGGCATATCCTATCCCGTTGCTACCGGTAGTGGGCCCTCCTCCTAAGTCAGGCGAAGGCAGACCTCACGGATGCTATGTTTGTTTGTTTCTTTCTTTCTTTTTTTTTTTCTTTTTTCTTTTTTTTCTTTGTAGGAATATTTGTCTGGCGCCCCTGTATTTTCCATTTATTTGCGTCGCGCCCCTCGGACATGCGAAATACCCTGCCGCGCCCCTGGGCCTGAAAATCTTTCTAGCAGGCCCCCGTCGGTAGTGGCGCAACTTTCCATGATGCCCTCCCTCAACCGGCGGTCCCATTTCATTGGGCTATGTGCCATATGCCCTCATAAGGAGCACCCATCTTCCTGTGATGCCCCTGCAGCAGTTTGGCGCTGGAAATTTGATTTCAATTTCCAACAGCGTTCTTGTTGACGCGCCACTGCCATTTTTCTTGACGTGCTCGTGAAGGCCAACCTCCTGTCGTCTTCGTTTTCGCTGGCCGTCTACCATCGCAAGGTGAGTGTACCCCCCCCCTCTTCGTTTCCGCTCGTCGTCGACGCTTGTGTGTGTGTGTGTGTGTGTGTGTGTGAAATGCACACACACACACACACACACACACACACACACACACACACACACACACACACACACAGAGAGAGAGAGAGAGAGAGAGAGAGAGAGAGA